GGGCGCGCATCTCCTTGGCAGCTGGCATGCGACAGCTCGCCCGATCGGGCGTAAGCTTGCCCGATCGGGCCCGGCTTCATCTTGGAGGTTTGGACTTCGATTTGGGCTAGATTTCTCGGCCCAATCCATATTTCCTCTCGGGTCTCGAATACATGGTCCAATTGCCTCGGGCTCCGAAAATGGTCGTGCTCCTCCGATGCTCGTAGTCGCTTCATAAAAATCCCGGGAAAATACTCCAAAGGTGCAATTCCCTGCAAAACTTAACCAAAACTACGAAAACACTAGAAAACACATATTAGTAATAAAAGTGGCCCCAAAGGGCCAAAAACACTACTAATTATGACTGAGGGACGGGGGTAAAATACTATATAAAATAGACATATCACTAGACCTTTCCACACTTTCGTTTCATTCGATTATGATTTGACGTGAAAGGCACTCATCACTGGGTTTGGTTTTGGGGAGACACAAATGGGTGTCTACAAGAACACATACGTTTTTTCAGAAAACTCGAAGGAAGTTGACTGTGAGAAGAGAAAATAAGCCACCGGACTGATTTTAGGACTGCCGTGACACGGCAAAAATTACCATGCCACGGTACTATGCACTGTCAGACGGTGCACTGTACCGTGACGCGGCAGATTTTGCCGTGGAACGACAGTCAGAAGATCTGACTGGTGCCCTGTTTTCCTTCGTGCGCAACCAAGTTATTCAATTTTTCCTACGGGACAGACCTAAATGCGACGTTAAAACGTCTATGCATATGCAAAAATGCCAAATTAATCACAGGAATATTTTTTCAAGAATCTTTCAAGTCTCATCCACTCATCTTAATCAAATATTGATCACTCAAATCGATAAATAACCAAGAATCCTCCCCAGTGGAGTTGCCAAATTGTAGGCGTCGCTCGAAGTGCGCCTACGTTAAAAGCATGTGTGAATATGCTTGGCACTCATAGGAAGTGGGAATTGACATTACGATTAGGGACAACGATTAGGGACAAATAAAGTAGGGAGCCGCCAACAAGTTTTTAAGGAACTTGTAAACCGTTCACGGATCATAAAAGGCAACCACGAATAAGGGACAACGAAGGCAACACCGATTGACCCGTGAAGGTTACATCCCATTCATAATCCATGAGATTACTAACTCCATATGGTTCGGAACCACGAAAGGAGGATCGGGGATGATGGTACGAAGTGAGTCATGGAGTCACATTCGCCCGTATTGGCCTCTACTCGATTCTTATATTGAAAAGCATTCCTGTGATCTCAAAGGCATACAAACAAATTATTCAATTCGCTCCAAACTATTATTAAGCTAAATTGGTTGAATATTAATGCAACACATAATTCTAAAATATTAGTGATCACTTGAATTAAACAACAAGATTAAAAAGGAACCTAAACCGGTTGTCCAAATTATCTTATTAGGCGTTATTTTCAATTACATATTCCCTTTAACATGCAATATGGTGATCATAAAAATAATAGAATAACATTAATATTGGAAGCAATTCAACAATAATAGCGTTAATCAAATTAAATATGAAATAACCTAATCATGATACTAGCAATAAGAAAATAAAATAAGAGTAATTAAATTAATTAATTACTCACATTTCGCGCGTTCCTTTAAATTGCTACATCATGAATAAACTGTTAGTAACTTCAATAAAAAATATAAAGTAAATAGAAATTAAATTAAATAAATATTAGATTTGATTTGGTCCAAACCCTCAGTTATTTGTACCTTTCACGCCTTGGTTTAAGGACGGAACCTCGGGTTAAGTATAGACTCCTTGGAGTGCTTAGGGGAATCGTTATGGAAGAATAATGAGGCTAGAAATTAGGTTAAAGAGGGAGAAGAGAATGATTTTTGGTGTAAGGTGAGAGAGAATGATTATTGGTGCCACGTACATCAGAAATGAGGGGGTATTTATAGAGAAAATGTGCTGAGGGAGCACACGGAACCCTAAAATGATAAAAACCCTAAAAAAAGTATCCCGCGATACGGCAAAGTGTACCGTGACACGGGAAATCCCACCGTCAGACGGGAAACTTTCCCGTGACACGGTACAAATTTGCGTGACACGGGAAATATTTAGGTTACGGGAAGGAAAACGCGTTAAGGGTTTACGCGGAAAAGATACGGAATGTCCCGTGACACGGCACAGGTACCGTGACATGGCAGTGACACGGTACAGTACACCGTGTCACAGTATGGGAGACGCGGAAATTACACGGAAACAGCTCCGTGTCACGGGGAATCCCACCGTCAGACGGTGTAAATTCCCGTGACACGGTGGAAAATGCCGTGACGCGGGAGTTGTTTAGGTACGAAGAACGCAAATAGGACACGAAATAGCCCCGCGTCACAGCAAGGGCACCGTGTCACGGGGATTCCCACCGTCAGACGGTGCAAATTCCCGTGACACGGTGGAATTGCACTGTGCGCGGTGATTCCAGGTTTTTACCCGTTTTTAAAACAATCATAACTTTTGATCCGTAACTTGGAATGAGGCATATATTATATCAATGGAAAGAATATCAAGTCTACTTTCCAACCCAATTGGAATAAAGTTAAAATAATATGTATATTTTAAGATATGGCCGTTTTAGTGGAAGGGTGTCGGTTTTAGGCCGAGTTTGGTGTTTTGCTCATATCTTTTTCGTTATAGCTCGGAATTGGGCTTATGATATATGGTTGGAAAGCTTATTTAAAGGCCTATCCAAAAAAATAATAATTGGATCAAAATTGTATATCCATAAAATCAGTTTCTGACACGAAAAGTGGAAAATAGGTTATGGTTTAGGGATTGGTTCATGAAATATATTGGATAGAACATGGATTTAAGCACTCCAAAGATTAAATACTCAACTCGACCAATAATGGCGGTGAAAGGTGTTCATCAACGGGTTTGGTTTTGGGGAGACATTTTTAGGTGTCTACAATACTCTATGTGTTTTTCATAACCGTTTGTTTGACTTGTGCTAAGATTAAATAAATTGATTTATGACTAAAAGAACTTTGCCTAATTAATTAATTAATTAATTAATTAGAGAAAATAAAGTCTAATAATTTAATCTGAGTTGACTTAGCACGACTTTAGGCATACCCTGTAGAGTAATAATACCGAAAGCAGTTCCAGATCGATGTTCCAGCAATGGCGCCAAGATTTAAACTGCAGCGCCACTCTGTGGAGTGTAGCGCCTGGCGACAATCCTGTCGTCTGGCGCAACACTGAAGCGCCAGTCCTGTCGTTTTGGCGACAGTTCGGTTTCTTGCTCGAGTCCTCACCTTATGTCTAATTGAGCAGTTTTCAAGTCGATTCAGTTAATAATACCTTGTTAAGTCATTAATCGAGTCTAAGCACTAAGTCCCATGGTCTTACACAAGAGTCAAAGCATGTCACCTACACTCACTAGTCTTAGCACACACTTTTTACATGTCACCATGACCATGTCTTAGATTCATGCATCAATCGGTTTTTTTTTTTCCGTCATTTGAGTAGGGGGTACATTCTACTCCTAATTTTCCATATCTCTCCATCTACATCTTTTTTTTCCTCACATCACAACATTCATCCTTCCTACCTTCTTTCATCTATGCATGTTGAATAGAGTTGAGTCAAATAATTAACAATGAATATCCCTAATTTCCCTTTCCACAGTACTTGGTCAAGGAGAGAAGGGCGATTAATCAAGGACAACACCTTTGTTCAAGTCTTACTTTTTGATAAACCGATTCGTCAAAAGAGGAAAGCTAAGAAGATAATGGCAACTCGAGAAGAATTCAACGAACTTAGGAATCAATTGATCACCGTAATGAAGCATTGAAGGCTTTAACCCTCGAAATTGATGACCTTGTGAAGTAACAACAAATGAACCTTATGCAAGAAAGCTTGAGCAAGCTATCTAGTGACTATAAATTTCAGGGCATTAGTTCACAAGGGGTCTCGCTGGACAAGGAACTTCTTCCGCATAAGTTCAATGCCAACGACATCCCAAAATTCCAGGCAACAGATAACCCTTACTTTCATCTAAAAGCTTTTGAAATTATAATGAACATTAAGGGTATTGATAAGAAAGTCTCTCATTCTTTGTTTTCTTTATCTCTTGATACCGTTTGTCAACAATGGTTCTTTTCCCTTGACAAAGAGAAAACCTCTTCTTGGGAGTCGATAACAAACGCTTTCACAGATAGATATAAGTGCAACATTCAAGACGAAACAGACCACGGACAACTTGAGATGTTAAAACAAAAAGAAAACGAAGGGTTCACTTCTTTCTTTAACAAATGGAGGGAAACTTCTACTAATATGGTCAAGGTTCCTACCGAAAAAGAATCTGTGAGGATGTTTATCAAGAATCTCCAAGGGAAGTATTCAAAGCGCTTAAAATACCAACACAACTTGAATACTTTCAAGGCTGTGTATAATATAGGCATTGACATTTTAGATGACCTTCTGACAGATAATAGTGCGAGAGGAAAGAAGAACGACCATCCTTCTTCTTCCTCTCCCATTAATGAAGTACATGCTACGAAAGCCTCTAAATCACGAATCCAAAGGTTGAAAAGAGTTTTCACTCCACTTGGTATGAGTTATGAAACAGCTTTCGAGAAGCTACACCACAAAGGACTAGTCATGCCCATAGGGCCTATCAAAGATCCAGTTCCAGAAGACAGGCCACCCAAGTGGAATCCTAATAAGCGCTGCTAATATCACCAAAGAAAGGGTCACGATACTGAGGAGTGTTGGAAACTCAAAGAAGCTATTCAGGATCTAATTGATGATAATAAAACATCCTTCGATCCTTCACTCCTTATCACACCTGTAGGTGAGCCCATGATCGAGACAGCTTATATAACCTCTCTTGATGAAGTGGCCATGATTAAGGAGGATGAAAGTCTTTTCTTAGATAATACCAGGGAAGACTCGTCAAGTCTAAAAAAGGACGTTCGAAAACTGCAAGATGTCGTTGTCATGCTCTTAAATATGGTAGAAGGACTAGCAAATCGGGTGATGGTTATCGAATAAAAATCTCGCCAAGGATTTAATGAAGAACTCAATGCTCCTAAGCCACGGGCAAAACAGACCATTGAAGAATACACACCAATAGGAATGACTTACAATGAAGCTTTTGACTGTCTTCACGATCAAAGTCTCATTCACCCCATTGGTCCCAGTCAAGACCCTCCGCCTGAAAAACGGTATCCCAATTGGGACCCAAAATCTTATTGTCGATACCATAGAGGTCGTGGTCACACCACCGAAGTATGTCTCTCCCTCAAAGATCGTGTTCAAGACCTCATTGATTCAAATCTCCTTCATGTTCCTCCGCGCGACAAGAAGGCCAAGATTAGTAACGATAACAACAGTGGCTGTAAAGGAAAGAAGAACGACTATCCTTCTTCTTCCGAAAACACCTACTCTAGTAACAGTGTTGGTACTTTCGACCTTAATGAAATCTTAGGCATGGATAATCGAGGATTTAGAAAGCAACTAAGAAAGGATTTCACCCCTATTGGAATTAGCTACGATGATGCTTTCGATCAACTCCATGCAAAGGGACTCATTATTACTCCTATTGGACCCATTCAAGATCCCCCGCTTGAGAAGAGATTGCCTAGTTGGAACCCAAATGTACGCTGCAAGTACCATCAAGGTAGGGGGTCATACTACTGAGAGCTGTTGGAAACTAAAGGAAGCAATCCAATATTTGATCGACAATAACGGGCTTCCAATACCTCCAGTCGACAAGAACACCAAGTGATGATAAGCCAAGGGACAAGAGGCAAGCTTCAACAACAAGATTTCATGATCTTTTTTCTATTTTTTTTACCCTTTCCCCAATAAGTCTAGCATAGGAACCTTTTTATTCTCCTTAGATTTATTTTGTAGGATCATTATTTCTTTTCCTTTAATAAAATGAACATTTATTTCCTTATATATGATCATCGCATTGCATTGCATTTTAATAAAAAAAAAATAAAATAATAAAAAAATAAAATCCATGTCAAACTAAGCACAAGGTATACCAATGATTTGAGGCACCCCTTGTAGCCACATCATATTACCTTTCACCCTTCAAATATACAATCTCTTCTTGATAAAACACTTTGAGCCTCGTCTAACGATAGACCTTTCTTTCTTCAACCTACATCTACCTAACCTTGGGATGGAGCAATGTGCAACTTATGCAATTTTTAAAAAAAAAAGTTTGAGTGATTTCAAAAGATCAAAATAAATAAATAAGCAATAAAAAAAATAATAAAAGTGTACAAAAGGGCAAGTGTTCAAATGTCTTTGATATGAAAATGTCTTTGATATGAACACGTCTCGGATTGCGTCTCTTATCGAGTGCTCGGTACCGTGCCTGAGAAACATGAATGCCAAGTGAGTGATAGACCGCATGATCGGGATTGCCCACACTTATAAAAATAAAAAATGTAAAAGCAAAAAAAGAAGAGAGCAAAAATAAATAAAGCAAAAAAAAGAGAGCTAAAAAAAAAGTAGAAAGCCTCAAGCATAAAAATACAAAGATTCAAAAGCAAGGTTGCACACCTTGGGGGCTTATCGAGGGTCTTGAGCCTTTATCCCTTTCTTCTATAACCTTTATCCTAACCACGTTACAACCCCTTAAAAAGACCTTTTTAAGGTATACACACACTTGTGCGAGGTTCGGCTAGAGCTACGTTCGGCCTGATTCCTAACGGATACGTAGGCAACCTCACATCGAGGTGCGGCCGTAATAAACATGCATTCATATTCACATTCACACACCATGGTCATATCAAGGGATTTCCTATGCTCATCCCTATTTACTTAGAACTAGACTTGGGGGCTTGATCCCTACATCATTAGCTTACCTAGCCTAAGAGTCACCATTATTTACCTCTTCATGAAATAATATTTTTCCACACACTTAGCCCTTGCGGCCTAACTTTAGTGTCACTATCATACACATCACAGATACATGAACAAATATACTTCCCTTAGGAACCCTTTGTCATGGAATCTTAACACAACGTTGAAGCATGCCTTGTCATATCAACATCACTCATCAATCATAATTGTCATTGCATCTTGAAGTATGATGAAGTGCTTAGCCTCCGTGCCTAAGTTACCCAAATACTTTCATCATTGAGTCAACCATTGAGATAGCCTAGGATGGATTAATCCTTGCACCTTGAGAGATAGTATCAAACAACATTTGACTAAGCTCATTCAACATGCATTCGAAAACTTCAATTCTTTTTTCGCGTCTTCTTTTTCGGGATAAAGTCGGTACCCTCCACAAAAATGACGGAAAATTTTTTGCTTTTTTTCATTTTTGAGTCGCACGATCACATTATAATGCACGCACGAGTCATGTACACGTTGAGTCATGTCGTGTCATATCACCTTAATTTGAGTCTAACACATGTGGCAAGCACTTCGAGTCGAGTCAACCTCGAGTCAATCGCAACAAGTCAAGTTTATACCTTGAGTCGTGTCAAGTCAATGAGTCAAGAGACATTAAACCTTAGGTCAACCCTACAATAATTAAAGAGATTAGAAAAGTCCTATAGTCAAAGATAAATACAGGTGCAGCAGAATAGGGAAGACCCTACTCCAGCGCCAGACGAAAACATCTAGCGTCTGGCAACAGATTTCAGCGCCTGGCGCTAGATCCCAGCATCTGGTGACAAAGCCAAATCGCAGCGCCAGAGGCATTGCAGCGGCGACAGAACGCTCAACCACTCAGAGCAGTTATTTCAACCTCTTTCAGCAATTTCGGGTTCCTTGGTACGCCAGTTAGCCCCTATAAGCAATTTGACATGATTAAGTAGTCGGTTTGATTACAATCGCAATAAGTGATCGACCTGACAAAAGATCGTCTCACTTAGCTTAAAGCACCTAAACATTGACTCATCGCAAGACACCAACATATTGGTTCATAAACAATAGAGACACCGACATACTGGTTCATAAACAGCAGAGACACCGACATACTGGTTCATAAACAGCAAAGACATCGACATAATAGTTCACAAGCAGCAAAAGCGCCAACGTACTGGCATAGCGGAAGTAAAGTTCAAGCGAGCTTTAAATATCGACAAGCGTTGGTCTTCGGAAGTTTTCTTCGGAATATTATCACAACAAACATTCAAGTATTATCAAAAGCTCTTTTGTTTAGAGACGCGTGGACATATTATCAAAAGCTCTTTTGTTTAGAGACGCGTGGACATATTATCATCAAAGCTCTTTTGTTCAGAGACGCGTGGACATATCATATCATCAAAAGCCCTTTGTTCAGAGACGCGTGGACATATTATCAAAGCTCTTTTGTTCAGAGACGCGTGGACATGTACTTCAAGCTCTCCTACTCAGAGACGCGGGGCTCCTATTAAAGATCTTTTGTTCAGAGACGAGTGGACAATCCTCAAAAAGAAGCTCTTTGTTCAGAGACGCGTGGACATATTAAAAAGAAGCTCTTTTGTTCAGAGACACGTGAACATATCCAAAGAAGCTTCATTGTTCAGAGACGAGTGAACATCAAAACAGCAAGATGGCTTTCCATAGATTGTGGAAGGTTGTCGCAACGGCAAATGCAGCAACAAATTGGTTACCTCCAGAGACGTGTGCTCGACGGTGCAAGATATGCGTTTCTTAACTCTTTTATTTGTTTGAACTAATGCTAGTTTGCAGGTATAGGCGTTACTAGAGCTGTGAAAAGCTGACCCGACCCGAAATACCGACCCTACCCCTAACCCGTCTGAACCCGAAAAAAATGGTGACCCAAACCCGACCTAACCCGACCTGAAACCAACCCTAGACCCGAGTTGACCCGAGTATTTGAGACCCGAACCCGACCATGACCCGACCTAAAGAGGACCCAACCCGAATGCGACCCGTAAATTATTGACCTGAACCGAACCCGAGAATGACCCAAACCCGATTTAACCCGTCAAAACCCGAATTCAACCCGACCTGTTACTAACCCGACCCGAGGTCAACCCGACCCGTTCCTAACCCGACTCGAATTTAAACCCAACTTGTTTCAAACCCGACCCGAAATCAACCCGACTTGTTATTGACCCGACCCAAATTCAACTTGACTTGTTATTGACCCGACCCGAATTTAAACTCAACCTATTACTAACCCGAATTTAAACTCGACCTATTACTAACCCGAATTTAAACGTATTTGAGGCTATATGAGGTGAGTGAGGTGAATCGGTGATAGTGCTTTTGTCTAATTAAATCAGCCAAATGTTTGTTTTTTTTTTTTTTCTAAATTTATCTTCAAAATAAACTTCTATATAACTACTTATAATCCTTTTATTGATCCTTTTTTTTCAAATTTTATTATTCACTTGTTTATTTTAATATATTTTTTAAATGTTTTAAATTATGCAATTTGATTTGGAGCTTTAAAAAAAATTTAAAAAATTTTATTGACTTGAACCGAACCCGACTTGAACCCGAGAATAACCCGACTTGGAAATGACCCGACTTGATTATAACCCGCAAATTATTGACTTGAACCGAACCCGACTCAAACCCGATAATGACCCGACCTTATTATAACCCGTAAATAATTGACTTGAACCGAACCCGACTCGAACCCGAACAGGACCCTAACTTGTTTAAACCCGTAAAAACCCGAATGTAACCCGACCGGTTTTTCACCCGACCCGAATGTAACCCGACCTTTTATTGACCCGACCTAAATCCGACCCAAACCCGATAAGATGTATGACCCAACGTGACCCGACTCAAGCATGACCCAACCCGAACCCGACCCGCATAGGTCCCGACATTAACCTATACTGACCCAACCCGAGATGACCCGACCCACACTAACCCGACTCTAATCCGACCCATATACCCGAATTGACAGTTCTAGGCATTACAAGAGTGATTTAGGATCGCAGAACGTTCTGAATCATTCTCTATCCCTATCGCTACTTTGACTTTTGTTTTCGAAACTTGCATTTCTCCAAACTCAGTCTAAGTGGGGGCTTCTATAGACACACAAATGTGTCTCCCCAAAACCAAACCCAGTGATGAGTACCTATCATGTCGAATAATAATCGAATGAAGTGAAAGTGTGGAAAGTCTAGTGTTGCGGATAGTTTTAATTTCTTTTCTTTTCTCTTTGTTTTTGAAAACCTATTTTAAGAAAGCAGTCAATCCAGTTTGTTCGGTCCATATAAAGGGTCCAATAATGGTGTAGTTGGATGGGGTTTGAAAAGAGATTTCCAACGATATATTATAAGCCTAGTTCCGATAAATAATGAGGAAGTTATGGCCAAATTACTAAACTGGGTCCGGTTTGAGCCTTATATGCGGCCAATGATCTAGAGGACAGTCCTCATTATTCATCTTAGGAGGGCCTAATATGGATTTATCATTCCTAATGCAAATAGGAATGGTTTTAGTCTTCTAGATTCTTCTAGAAGGTTCTCTTCATTCCTAATTCAATTAGCATTGATAAATTGACTTTTGTTGACTTTTTAGAGTTTTAATCAGAATAAAATAGTGTTTTTAAGGAAAATACGATTTTATCCTCCTGTACGTTCAAATTTTATTTGAATTTAGAAAACGCGTAAAAAAATTGTTAGCGCCTAAAGCCAGTCATTAGCGCCTGGCGCCTGGCGCTAATGTTCAGCGCCTGGCGCTAATTTCGTTTTTTCACGTCGAAACTCTAATTTGTTTTTTTTATCTTTTTGGCTGATTTTCTCTATAAATAGCCTCCTATAAACTCCATTTTCAATAATAAAATATCATCAATTCTCTAATTCTCTCTTTCACCAATTCTCACCAACTCTCATCAAGAAATTCTTGATTCTCTCTCTCTCTTTCTAAGCCTAGCTTTTTACGAACACAATTCCTCACACATTAGCACTAGACACACCTAGCCAAGTTCAAAGTTGCCTTCGCCCTAGACGTGAAAGGTTTTAATTTCTGAGGGTTTGGTCCCAAATCCCTATTTCAATTATTTAATTTAATTGTTTTTTATTATTTTTCTTGAAGTTACTAACGTGTGTATTTTGTTATTAGAAAGAGATACGAGGCATCCAAGTAAGTGCTTTAATGGTTTTATTGATATAATGATATAGAAATCATGTCTAGGTTGTTATTATGATTCCTAGTGTCATGTTAGGGTGTTTTGATCTTCCTAGTATCATGTTTAGGGTAATAACTATAATTTCTAATATCAAATATGACAATTGTGATTCCTGCGATGCTTCCTATTTTCTTTCCTATAGCATGTTAGTATCAATCATGTTAGGGTTAAACCTTTGATCTTTATTGCTTAGTGACATGCTAGGGTTTGTTATTAATCTTGTTAGTACCATGCCTAGGATCTTGCTATTATTATGCCTTAACATGATTATTATTGTAGGGAATATTTTCAAGCGTTAACCCCCTAGCTTGAACCCCACTGTGATCATACACTAAAGTACGGTGGCGTCCAAAAGGGAAGAAGATAGAGCAAAAGAGTCGCCAACAAGTTTTAGGAACTTGTAAACCGTTCACAGGGTGAAGGTTACACCCCTTAACGATCCAAGAGATCGTCAACTCCATAAGGTCTTGAACCAAATAAGGGTTCGGGGATGAAGGTACAAATCCAACCTAAAAGAGATTGAACCTGTCCTAATAATAGGCCTCTACTTTATTCTGATCGTATTCATGTGCGCTTTTTGACTAACATGCAATCAATAGGATTAACCTTAAACCTGTTTATCTATGTTGGTTGAATATTAATTTACAAACAAATCTATTATTGGAGATCACTTGAATTATAATCACATTAACCCTAACAAGATTATTAATATCTTATTAAGCGTGATTACAAGTACAAATTCCCTTTAAACATGCATAAAAGGTGTGATCAAGCAATAACAAAATAAATATCAAGCAACATAATAATAAAGTAATAATAATAATTATTATAATCATCATCAAGATAATCATGATAATCATAAATAATAATCATAATAATAATAATAATCATCATTATAAAATTATAATCATAATCAAAACAATTATAAAAATCATGATAATAAATTATAATTAAGATAATCATGTTAAAGCATAATAATAATAGCAAGATCCTAGGCATGATACTAACAAGATTAATAACAAACCCTAGCATGTCACTAAGCAATAAAAATCAAATCTTTAACCCTAACATGATACTAACAATCATAAATATTAGGAAGAAAATAGAAGGCATCATAACAATCATATTTGATATTTAAATTACCCTAGACATGATACTCGGAAGATCATAATGCCCTAAACATGATTTCTACATCATAACATCAATAAAACTATTAAAGTACTTACTTTGATGCCTCGTACCTCTTTCTAATAACAAAATACACACGTTAGTAACTTCAAGGAAAATAATAAACAATTAATTAAATTAAATAATGGAAATAGAGATTAGGGACCAAACCCTCAGAAATTAAACCTTTCACGTCTAGGGTGAAGGCAACTTCGAATAAGGCTAGGTGTGTCTAGATCTAATGAATGCGGAATTTTGTATGTAAAAAACAAGTTTAGAAAAGAGAGAGAGAGATAGAGAGATGGTGAATGATTAAAGAAGAGAATGAGAATGAAAACTCGTTGTAGGTGAATATAATTGAAAACTGATTGTTGATGAAAACTGGTTGTCGAAAACGGAGTTTTTAATACGTGATTTATAAAGAAAATCAACCAAAAAGATAAAATATCAAAACAAAGTTCTGGCGCACCTAAAACAGAGTTGGCGCCAACGCTGGCTTATTGGCGCCAGGCGCCAGGATTAGCGCCAGGCGCCAATGTCTGGCGTTAGGCGCTAATCCTGTTTTTGACGCGTTTTCTAAAATCAGATAAATTTTTCCGTACAGGAGGATAAAATCGTATCTTTTCCTAAAAAATGTTCTTTGATTTTAATTAAAACTCTGAAAAGTCAACAAAAGTCAATTTATCAATGCTAATTGAATTAGGAATGAAAAGAACCTTCTAGAAGAATCTAGAAGACTAAAACCATTCCTAATTGCATTAGGAATGATAAATCATATTAGGCCCTCCTCTAGATCATTGGGCCGCATATAAGGCTCAAACCGGGCCCAGTTTAGTAAATTAGCCATAACTTCCTCAATATTCATAGGAATTGGGCTTATAATATATCGTTGGACAGCTCTTGTCAAGCCCCATCCAACTACACTACTATTGGACCCATATCATGGACCAACCAAACTGGATTGGCTGTTTTCTTAAAATAAGTTTTCAAAAACAGAGAGAAGAGAAAAGAAATTAAAACTATCCGCAACACTAAACTTTCTACACTTTCACTTCATTCGATTATGATTCGACGTGAAAGGTACTCATCACCAGGTTTGGTTTTGGGGAGACACAAATGGGTGTCTACAATTATGATTTATGATTATAATATTTTTATGATGATTATTATGTTGCTTGTTATATATTTATTGTTATTGCTTGTTCACGCCTTTTATGCATGTTTAAAGGAAATTTTGTACTTGTAATCATACTTAATTAGATAATTAATAATCTTGTTTAGGGTTAATTTGATTATAATTCAAGTGATCTCCAATAATAGATTTATTTGTGCATTAATATTCAACCAACATAGATAAACAGGTTTAGGGTAATCCTATTGACTGCATGTTAGTCAGAAAGCGCACATGAATACGATCAGAATAAAGTAGAGGCCTATTATTAGGGCAGGTTCAATCTCTTTTAGGTTGGATTTGTACCTTCATCCCCGAACTACCAGTCATGGTTCCAGACCTATTGGAGTTGACGATCTCATGGATCGTTAAGGGGTGTAACCTTCACCCTGTGAACGATTTACAAGTTCCTAAAACTTGTTGGCGACTCTTTTGCTCTATCTTCTTTCTCTTTGGACGCCACCATGCTTAAGTGTATGATCACAGTGGGTTCAAGCTAGGGATAACGCTTGAAATATTCCCTACACTAACCAATTTGCATGTGACCAAATACCAAATAAATTCTTTTGTCCTACAGGGTGTTTGGAAAGGGAAGGAGAAAGTTACAGATGATGCAGGTCCATCCATAGTGAAGTCTCCTTGCTGGAAGCCTCTTAGGTCAGGATTTCTCAATCTTAATATAGATGGTGCTTGGGTATCTTCAAATGTTGGAGGAGGAGGTGGTGTTTTCAGGACTGTGAAAGGTGAATGGAATTTTGGATACTCTAGTAAGTACAATGCTCCAAATGCTTTAGGTTCAGAGCTCTATGCTTTACGAGAAGGTCTGAATTATGCAAGGGCTATGCCTCTCCAATTCTTGGAAGTGGAAACAGATGCTGAACAGATCATGACTTTGCTTAACAGAGATCACACGCATAATGAGCTTGTTGCGGTTATCATTGATGTGGCTAGATTGCTTAACAACATGGAGATGACTATTATATTCAGTACTATTCCCAGGGAGCCGAACAGCGTGGCACATTACTAGGCCAAATATGCCATGAATATGAGCTTAGGACATGTTGACCATTTCACATGTCCAGTTAGTGTAGAAGCTGCTTATCATGCTGATCTTCCTACCTAGTTTTAACTCTTTCTGGTGTTCTATCTCTGTATTTTGCTGTAAAAACTGGTTTAGTAGAAGTACTTTGGTTTTTAGTTGGTGTAGTTTATGGATTCTGTTCAAAGAATGCATTTTTCTTAAAGGAGCTTCTATGAACATTAGGTTGTAATATATTTAGGGCTATGCCCAAGTAATGCATGCTTCCTTTTATGTCAAAAAAATACGAAATACGAAATACAAAGACAAGACAAGTTGTACATTTTGCCCAAATACCTTAAGAAATACGAAATAATTCTGCAAACGGGTTGACGAAAAGCATAACAGAAATGAGGTGGATTTTCACTTAAGCGTGCGAATTTACAGAACTACCCCTTGATATACATTTGTTCATGCATCTCAAGACTCCCTCTAGACAGCCTCATTGTGTATGTGTCACGTATTTCCTTTCTTACACCTGTATATATAGCGCCACCTCATCATTCATCAGCCTTTAGCATCTTGCCAAATCATTATTAATGATCTTAATTAAAAATGCATACAAAGAGATTTGAACCCCAAACCTCATTGAATGGAAACCAAAATGCATTACCATCTTAGCTAGAATCAATTCATGCTTTATTAATCCAATTTTATATATAAATACACACATGTATTAGAATGTAGAATAAAAACCGAAAAAAATCAAAAATAAATTATTAATGTCATTGTATTCTAATTTACGCATGTTAAATAAATTAATAAGTCTTTTAAAGCTTCTAATATAAAAATGAAATTATTCAAAGTATCACCCGGGGCAAAGCCCGGGTCACACACTAGTTTGAACTTATAAAATTGTACCGTTGCACATCAATTTTTTAATGCAGCAATTTTTTTTTATTAGAATTGAATAAGGTACATAATATTTTAGGAAAAGAGAGAGTGAGGGATAGCTTAGGTGGTTAGAGTTTCTCTCCCGATTATAGGAGATCATGAGATCGAATCTCACCCCTGCCTATATTATATATATATATATATATATATATATATATATATATATATATATATATATATATATATATATATATATATACTTCCTCTGTTCTTTTTTATTTGACCTGTTTCTTTTATCATGCTTGCTAGTGCAAAAATTTAGCGATCAATAACTTTAATTCTTCATAAGTAAAAATTATAAAAGTTGTATATTACGATAGTACTTATTGAGACGAATTAAAAAATATACATATGAATATATTTTTCCTTACATATTTCTCATACAAGACGGTCAAAGGAGAGGTGGTGAATAGTGTAAAAGTCAAAGCGGGTCAAGTAAAAAAGAACAGAGGAAGGTGAGAATAGGTTCATATGTGAGAATTCATACTTATATGAGAACTGATTTTAAATTTAGAACATGTGAGTAAAAGTTTAGAGCAAACAAGTAAAAATTTAGAACTTGTGTCTGAAATTAAAATTTATAACATCTGAGTAATAATTTAGAACATCTATGTGAGTAATATGTTTAGAACATTTGATTTAAGAATTAGAACAAGTGATTAAAAATTTATAAAATCTGCTTTATGAAACTTTAAACATATGAGTAAAATTTATAACATCTGATTTAAGATTATGAACATGTGAATAAAAATTTAGAACAAACTGATATAGAATATAGAAAGTGTGAGTAAAAAATTAGAACATACGAGTAAAAAAATAGAACATACACTTTAAAATCTGGAACATATAAATAAAAATCTTAGAACACACATTGTAAAATTTAGAACATATAAGTTAAAATTTTGGAACAAGTTATTTGAATTTTATGATATTAAACTTAACTAATTTATGGTTTAGAACATGTGAGTACTAAATTAGAACATTTGATTTAATTTAGAACACCTAAGGAAAAGTTTAGAACATCAAATTTAAAATTTAGAACATACTAGTAAAAATTTAGAACATAAAGAGTGTTCTCACATAAGAAAAATTCTCACGAGAGCCTCCCCTTATATATTTATAGGGATCCGGTGAGAATAGGTTCATATGTGAGAATTCATACTTATATGATAACTAATCTATAATTTAGAACACGTGAGTAAAAATTTAGAACATACGAGAAAAAATTTAAAACATGCGACTCAAATTTAAATTTAGAACATATGAATAATAATTTTGAACATATGACTAATAATTTTGAACATGTGTGTGAGCAATAATTTAAAACATCTGATTCAAGAATTAGAACATGAGAGTAAAAATTTAAAAAATTTGTTTTGTGAAATTTAGAACATATGATTAAAATTTAGAACATCTGATTTAAAATTTAGAACGTGTGAATAAAAAATTTAGAACACTTGGTATAAAATATAGAAAATGGGAGTAAAAATATTGAACATATAAGTAAAATTAAAATACAGAACATGTGAGTCAAAATTGGAACATATGCTTTCGAATTTAGAACATATAACTAAAAATCTTAGAACACACGCACGTTTTAAAATTTAGAACATATAAGTTAAAATTTCGGAATAAGTTATTCGAAATTTATAATATCTAACTTAACTAATTTATGGTTTAGAACATGTGAGTACTAATATAGAACATCTGATTTAATTTAGAACACCTGGGGAAAAGTTTAGAACATTAGATTTAAAATTTAGAACATACGAATAAAAATTTAGAACATAAAAAGTGTTCTCACATAAGAAAAATTCTCACATAAGAAAAATTCTCACGAGAGCCTCCCTTCTTATGTGAGAACACTTTTTATGTTCTAAATTTTTCTCGTATGTTCTAAATTTTAAATCTAATGTTCTAAACTTTTCCCCATGTGTTCTAAATTAAATCAGATGTTCTAAATTAGTACTCATATGTTCTACACCATAAATTAGTTAAGTTAGATATTATAAATTTCGAATGACTTATTCCGAAATTTTAACTTATATGTTCTAAATTTTAAAACGTGCGTGTGTTCTAAGATTTTTAGTTATAGGTTCTAAATTCGAAAGCATATGTTTTAGTTTTGACTCACATGTTCTATATTATTACTCATATGTTCAATATTTTTACTTCCATTTTCTATATTTTATACCAAGTGTTCTAAATTTTAAATTAGATGTTCTAAATTTTAATCATATGTTCTAAATTTCATAAAGCAATTTTTTAAAAATTTTACTCTCATGTTCTAATTCTTGAATCAGATGTTTTAAATTATTGCTCACACACATGTTCAAAATTATTAATCATATGTTCTAAATTATTAGTCATATGTTCTAAATTTTTACTCATGTGTTCTAAATTATAGATCAGTTCTCATATAAGTATGAATTATCACATATGAACCTATTCTCACCGGATCCCGACCCTATATATATATATATATATATATATATATATATATATATATATATATATATATATATATATATATATATATATATACAGGAGGGATCCGGTGAGAACCACCTTCTATGTGAGAACTCATCTCATATGTGAGAACAAATCTCAGCCATTAAATTGTATTAAATCGAACGGCTGTGATTAAGCACATAAACCTCCTACAAACCACTTAACTGTCTTCTCTCTCTATCCAGTTAAGTGACTTCTCTCCACCAAGAAGCTTCATCAATGGTGACTGATTAATCCATTTGAAGGCTTGACAATTTTGATTTCATCTTCTTCTTCACAAGTGCGAATAACTTCGATTAAAGAATATGAAGGCTCGATAATTATCAAGGTTTGTTCAAATTTTCAATTTCGATTTTACTGCTCTGAAAATTTCGAATTGCATTAATTATTAAGATTCGATTTTACTATTAATTTGATTTTGATTTTCGTTGTTGTCTATGATTTAATTTGAATTTTAAATCAAGATTGTGCGATTTTGATTACAAAAATTTGGGTTTCACATTTTTTAATTTCGATTTTAGTATTCTGGAAAATTTTTAATATGAATGTTCTTAATTTTGGTTATTCGAGTTTGACATTCTAATTTTTGCTCGATTTTTTTTACTTTGAGTGTTCTCAATTTAGGATTTTCGTTAAAATTTTCAATAAGATTTTCAATTTTGACGGTAGACAAGATCCTTGACACCATCGAGGAGGTTGCAGACGAGCTGGACTTGTAGGTCCGCAGGAGGAAGAACTATGGTGTCGAAGACTTGGTTGGGCCTAAGGGTGATTTCATTGCCAGGGTAGAGATTGATCAACTAACTGAACAATTGGTAATTATCAATGAGTTTGTTTTGAATATCCTGATAGTGCATACAAGGTGTTTGATGAAATGCTTGTTAGAAAATGCTTGGTAATTATTTGTTGTTTGAGGAATGCTATCACATGGAATTGAACAAGGGACTATTAATGCTAATCAAATGATTACTCGGCTTAAGGAGAATGTAGTTGGTAGAATTAGATGTTTGCCACGTATAATTAGTGCTAAAAATAGAATTAAGTTGGTTTGATAATATGTGATGTATAAGTTTCTTTAGCTGCTTGTTTTGATAATATGTGATGAGCAACGATAATAAGTTAGTTTCTCATTTGTCAAATGAGCAAATAATTAGTTGCTCATTTGTCAAATGAGCAAATAATTAGTTGCTCATTTGCCAAATGAGCAAATACTTAGTTGTTAATTTCACAAATGAGCATTGAGTTATTTGCTCATTGGACAAATGAGCATTGAGTTATTTGCTCATTGGACAAATGAACATTCAATTATTTTCTCATTTAACAAAAGATCAAAGAATTGTTTGCTTATTTCACAAATGAGCATTGAGTTCCTTGGTCTTCTTGCCTATGCACAAGCCCCACCCCCTTCTTCTTGGTATGTTTCCTGCACACCAACCAAACTCCTTTCTTCCACTTTCCTCCACAAACCTATCCCCCCTGCCCCATCATCTTTCGGCTTGTAGTTCTGATTTCAATAACTGATTTCCGTTCTAATTTTAGATTAT